TGTATCTTTATTTCTAAACCTGACCACTTTTTGGATGAATAATTTGGATATATAATTGTAGAATCTGAAGAGAATATATTGAAAAGGATATTATTCGTCCATATATTAGTGTTTAAATATGATGGGGATTTTTAAACGATATTTCAGTTAACAGTATTCCTCAACTTGCAAATTCCTAATACCATTTCTCAAAAAAACCCATCATAATTAATATAACTCACACTGACTGAACTGTCAGTAGTAACTGTTATTTGTCTAGCTTCAATGCTGATCAAGTTATATGAATAAAGTATCCATTATTCTAAGTAACCTCATATTACATGTACATACATACTTCTTTTGTAAATATAGAGTAATGTACTCGGAATAAACAGCTGTTCATTGCTTTTTCGTATCCAATGGTTGTCTAACTGTGACATGAAACTACATAAGATTTTATTATTCTAAAAGCTTAAATATAAACTATTGATTTTCATGCGTTCTGACCTCTCGATAAGTTTAGATAAAACAAGATTAATGGAATAACATGAATTTACTATATTCGAAGGCATCTTATCAGCTGTAAACGGATGTAATCAATGATTTTTCGTCATGTTTAAAGGTTTTGTAAATTCCTAAATAGTAGCATTATCAACACGTTCGTTAACTTTCTACTCTTATCAGCTGGTTATTCTTCAGTTTTCTTTTAAGTGATTTGCTAATAAAAATCAAATCTACAGTTTTATTTTCGCACATTTTATTTCTTTTTTAAATCTTTCGTAGTTTGTCTTTCATTAAATGTTTTTGAATAGAATTTAAATTCACCCCTTCGAGATGAACATCAAAACGGCATAAAACAATGATCTACTTACAATTGATTGATCACTGGGTGGTGATCAATGTCATGCGTGTCTATTCCTTATTGGTGCAGATCGAATGCAATCGACCATGTTGCAATGTGGTCACCAGCCTACGTGACTCGACACTGCATGCAATATTGTGAGATTAGATGGTGGTCGACAGGGAACCCTGGACCCGGGTTTCGTGCTACTTGGCACTTGTCAGCAAGGTGTACCTGTAATCTTGGGGGAACTGGTGCTCCTGGCGGATTCGATCTCGTGTCACCCAGCTTCACAGTCAGAAACGTTACCACTGAGCTATCCGAGTCGCGACCGACCTCCTGTAGGACTGAGATGTAATCACAATTGATTGATCACTGGGTGGTGATCAATGTCATGCGTGTCTAATCCTTATTAGTGCAGATTGAATGCTATCGACTATATTGCAATGTGGTCATTAACTTAGGTGACTCGACATTGCGTGCTGTCGTACTGTTAAATCTATCGAAGCGTTTAATTCGCAAAATTGAGATACGCGGGAAATCGGAGTTCACAAAACAACGATTTTTAAAAAAAAACTATTCTTTATTGAGTAATATACATAAATCAGCTACAAACTTCAACTTGTGAGGTATGTGTGGTTCCTTGTAACTGTAAATTAAAAAAGTCTTCCTGCAATAATAATATAAGGAATAATTATGACATATGATAATGTGACAGCTAATAGCTGTGTCTAATCTTGATAGCATTTTATCAACAAGCAAAAATGGAATCAAGAGCAAGCAATATGGAAATCGTTGCGTTGAAACAAGGATTAAACGACTATACAAAATTGAGAATAACTGCTAGAAGGATTCAAAGTGACTATCATGATAAATACAATAAATGTTATAAGCGTATGTAAATATTTTGTAATAATACACGATAAACTCGTGTTACAACAGACGCGTAGAAATTTCTAGGAAAACAGCTGTTTACTGAATATAGTATAAAGCAATACACAAAAGAGTCGAAGGGAAGTGAATAAGAATAGAGAAAATAGAACAGACTTAACATCTACTTTCCTGTATAATGGTTTTACGTAACCAAAGATTAATTAATGTTTTAAAATACCATTCTACATTAACATAAAAGAAATAATTTCACTAATGCAAGTAAGCATTTTTACCTAGAAAAGTTGTTCGCAATTCAAAGTTAAATTTCACATGTTCATGTGAGCTACATTAAAAAATGTTAGTTGGGGAAATCTTCAAAAAGGAAGGCCATGTACGTTATGATACAAAATTCCATGTTTTTTCTTCCTTAGATCTCTGGGAGAATGAGCAAGCGATCACTTTTGTCTTAGGATTTATGTTTAGTTGGTAGATAGTTTGGATCGTAGACTGATAGTGAAAACTAGAGGACACTAGTCTGCTATCTTATTCTAGCAATGTACACCCATGACTCTTATACCTATCTTGTGGTCATTGATTTTGAATGGCTATCTAGCTAAAGCCAGTCAGTTTGTGATGTAAACGATCTCCAATCCTCTTGTCTCAAATATTCAGAAAATTTGTGAATATGATACTGTAGCCGATATATTGTGCGAACAGTTTTGGTGGGCGGAGCGTTGAAATTATTCAAACTGCTGTGGTTATTTGAAACATTATGTTTACATATGGTATCTTTCACATACTTGGTTCCCGATTCCTGTCAAACTGAGAGTTCCAATTGTGATGAATGTTCATATATAAGCATAAGTTATTGGTATAAGGGAAGAATTACTGTATGATTTATGTAAGAATATGAATGTCCAAAGAACTATCTGAAATGATCTGAAGTTTCTTTATAGGACAATTAATCCCAAGATTTCAACTGTTAACCTAAGGACTGTAGTTGATCAAACCTTTGATTGTTGAATTGAGCCATGTTGACAAGTGTAAACTATTTGGTTGAGGTCCTTGTGATAACCTAACTGGTAGTTGGAGGCATTGAATGATATGTCTCAGAATCGATTACAATGGCAAAGATGTATTCACTTTTTATCTTCTAGACCATGAGTTCTAAACTCAAAATGTACTTTTTATCCTAAGAGTGTATTTTTCTCGCGAATTATATTGTTTATGCCTCATTTTGTCCTACTATCACTGGTACTATTACTATTCGTATTTATATCATTTGTCATGATAATTTTTTGTCGTTGTCCTAACATTGCATTTCAACGTGTATTATTTAGAAAATGTGCTACGTTTAATATTACTTATCAGTAACACCTGCATAAATGGCTTATTTCTGAATTCATGCTTCCGTTATTGAAAATAAAAATTATAATTTATAACAATTTTTTGAGAGATTTGAACTAGATTTTCGTTGCGACCCGTTCGATGATTAAAAAAAACACAAACTCCGCTTTTACTGGAAAATCATGACTCTTTCAAATTGAGGTCAAAAAATCAGTTTATTTTAGCAATAAGTATAAATTTCTGGCGGCCCGCTTAAATATCTGGGCTACCTATTCCTACCATCCAAATATTTCAACAACCGATTCAGGCGCGTTTTTGAAAAGTTCATGGCCTTTCACTGTACAAGTTACAAAAGAGACCAATCAGAGACATCGTGATTGCTGGCGATATGCATTGAAAAGAATGAACATTATTCAGATATCGACTCCTGAACTGTTAACATCTGACTGGTGATCACTCAATATTTGTCGCAAGGATCGATCAAGAAATAAGAGACGGAAACTTGTTGAAATACTTTATGCTGAGAATTCTATATTGTACCAAAAATATAATATTGAATGAAACAATTATTATTATTAATATATATCACCACAGTAATACCGAATAGTTAAATATCTTTCAATGAATAAATCAACATGACAAACAAAATTTGTACACAAGATGACTAGAAATTAATCAGATACAATTAAAGAGATATAAAGATAGATATTCCAATCACAGAAGATATTCTGAAATCTGAATAATCATATTTTTTCTTTTAATTAATCCTTATGACTAAAATGATACCTAACATAGTAAAAAAAAAGAAATATTAACAGAATCTAAGTATAGATGAAAAAATGATGATAGTTTGAAAAAAATGTATCTCTAGTTGATGATCTAACCGTTATCCTTTTCATCATCATTATACTGATAAATCATACCAAACGCATAATCATGTTTATTTTTGATAGATGAATAAGGAAATATCATTTTATCATAAATATTGAAGTATGATATTCAATGGAAGTTATTAAACAGTACACTATATATATATATATATATATATATATATATATATATATATATATATATATATATATTCTAACTAAAATAATCTAGAACTACCTTTTTTTTCTTTTCAACAACGATAAAAATAGTAAAAAGAAAAAATCAGAGATAAATAAACTCGGTAGGGTGATTGTGGCATTTGAACAATAATGACAGAAAATGAAAAAAACCCCCCAAAATAAATGGAGAATCAACTCTACAATACATAAATAAATCAAAGAATATAGTCAATTATTAAAAACATAGCTGCGATGGCATTTTTATCTTGAATAAAAAGAAAGTCTATGGGTTGTTTTTCTTCCAAAAAAATAAACAGCGAAACTAACGAATGACAATACTAGTTACAAAAAAAACCCAGATAACGTGAGTGTATGTATGTGTGAGAGAGGGAGGACAGAGTGCGGGAATAGAACAGTAAAATGAAGTAGAACAAAATAAAAAACAATCAATAGTTTTTATAGGGAAAAAGACCAAATATTTATATAAACATATATCTGAATATATTTAGTTTGCTAAAAGAAAAGTAAACAGTAATTATGTGTTGAAACAGTAAAAATTATGATGGATCAAATGAATATTTTGCTATTTTTATTTGATTTATCTGAGAGAAAAAATATAGCGTTTCAAAATCCTAAGATAGCATTTAATGTACTAACACAAACCTTATGTATATATAAAGAAAGAGAGAGAGTACGTGTGTGTAGGAGAGATGGGAGAGTGAGAGACATCAGGAAGATCTACCGTTTAGGAATGTAAACATACATGATATATATATATATATATATTCGATGTAAAAGTTATTAAGTAGTTTATCTATTTTATTTTCATAAGAAATGAGAAGTGATAAATAAAAATACAAATATAATCACATAGCAATATAAGTAAGACAAATCAATTCACTGAAAACATATTATTTTAATTCTAATGCAACAAGATTTGTTTCACATAATGCTTGATATAAATCATTTAATAAATTTTCATAATCACTTTTATCGAGCGCAGCAATAATAATCATTTGTTCCGGTTGTAAATTGCCATTGTTAAAGCTACTAGGAATAGATTGATGATGTGATGTTCTTGTCTCAGGAAATTTCCATAATTCTATTCCATAACGATACACTATGATATCATCAAAAAATGTAAATTTTGTAGTCATTAGGAGTAAATATATATACATATATATATTGGACAAAATGTTGATATGTAAGAAAAAAATCAGGATAGTACACATGGTTTTATGTAATACAATAATTTCTACTAATCATCTTAAATTGTTGAATAAGTAGACTTAGACAGAGAACTTATCTTTATAAGCAGAGATGAATAGTGAATATTAGTCGAATCCAGGACGCGCGTTCCGTCCTATCTGGAACTCGTCAGCCAGATGTACCTGCATCCCAGAGTTGATATTCACTCTGGGGCTCGAACCCAGTACCGTTTGCTTCAAACATCATCGCTTTACCTACTTAGATACCGAATCTAGATAACCACTAGCTTGTGCAATGGGGTGGAGTTAAATTCATTTTTGCATTATTTAATTGAATCTTCCCATTGATGTTTAAGACTGCGATTGGCCACGAGCGGTACTTGGCTCGAGTCCTGGAGTAAACATCAACTCTGAGATGCAGGTACATCGAGTTGATCAGTCTTAAATAGAACGAAACGGGCGTCTTGGATTCCACTACTATCCACCAACCATCTCTGCTTATAATGATTGTGACTGAAGGCAATATCAAGGCAATCCACACAGGATGGAAATATGCCAATAAGAGACTGATTAATTGAAATCCTAAACATCAATGGGAAGATTAAAACAACCAATAGAAAAATGAATTAAAGTTGTTTTTAGATTAATTTAGTGGATATATAGATAAAAAATCTCAAGGTTAGACTATAAATCACTCGTAACATATATATATATATATATATATATATATATATATATATATATATATATATATATATAAACGAATGTGTTTGTATCTTGTACATTGGTAAAGGAAACAAATTGTTTAGCTGGGGTATATAATTGATAGAGATGAAACTTTCAGAATAATTTTTACAGAGAATTGTTGTTCATAGTTTTTGGTGTCATTATTAAGTACTTAGTTTATGGTAATTTTATAATAGTTTTATTGTCAGATCTCATTTCATTTATTAATTGTTGTCGTACGCTTTACTTTATCTAAATTGGCGTTAATCAAATATGGACTTAGTGTACAGATTTTATATCAAATATAACTCATAATAAATATATTTTTGTTATATCCCAATATGTAGAAAGATTGTATTTCTGACCTTTCGAGGTACTAATTAAATTTGTGTTAATTTAATGTCAGTTATTTATTTACTCTGAAGAAGTGACTTACATTAAGTCACGAAGAGTCAAAAATATAACTTTTCTACTCATTGGGATATAAAAAATATATTTATTATTAACTATTTACTCAATGCTCAATTTATTTGAAATCAAATATAACTCAGTTCTATACAAGTTGTGATTACTAATTTGTGGTTATATAATGGATATACATAAAACTGGATTTTTGAATAAGGAGGACAAATACAGTACAATAATATAAGGTTGAATCCATTTGCTATTTTTGTCTCCAGATATGACATTGAAAGGATGAAAAAAGCTCGTGGACTAACAGGGATTGAAATTCATGATAATTGTATATTGATCAAAATGAGGACTGTTATTCTGACAGGTATGAAGCTCACTAGTAATTAATGAACAATCATAAGGAAGCTAAAATTTTTAACACCAATTTTAGTATTTTACTTTGATCACGTCAATAAACTTTATTGAAATAATCAAATTTCTTGGAAAATTGTCTACAAACACCATTAAACATGTTCCATAAAATGAGAAATCCCACTCATTCAATCAGTGGTTTTTTCAAGTGATTTTTTCAATGCAAAAAAAAGGAAATTGAAACAAAATATCACTGTTAATTAGCAAATGAATATCTTGAGATGCCTTAAATTTTTATATTGTAGATTAAATACTTTTTACTGACCACTTTCCTTTAAATCAACTGACATACATTACTGGTTAACTCAATGATTCTACAATTTTATCAATGAACTGTGTTCTAAAGAGACGAGTTTCGTGAAGTTAGAACACTTGGAGCTATTATTCAGATTGATATTTATATTTTTATTACATAGTAGATAACTGTTTTATTGTATTTCTATATTCTGCTTAATGTTAGCTTCCTTCAAACATACTATTCCCTAATTATTGTCAAGTAATTATCCACCGTTTACTTTGTTTTCCGCCACTTATGGCATGATTATGTTTAAAGTATGATTTTCTATTTGCTGTGCTGTGCGGCATGCTAATTGGTGTATACAACCTAATGGATGTTCGAGATAGTGGCTGGCTGATTGACTGAGATGTTATAATGGAAACTGCTGCTAACGTTTCTTTGAATATGAGGCTGTGATAGAGAAAGGCTTGTATATAGGCGGACTAATAGGGATGTAGCGTGTATTGGCTCAAGGTTGGTTTTGGAGGCCAGAATATATAGCTGGTCAAGTCTAGTACGCTAATTTATAGACGGAATAGTAGATGTGAAATGGAGAAAGCATGAGTATAGAGCTGTGAACTTTTATTGAGATAACGAATCGATTAGTGTAAGACCACCATTGAAAACCTGAGAGGCTAAGGGTTGGCGCGCGAGACTGAAGGTTTCTAGTTTGAACCTCACATATAGGACCGTCGGTGCGTACTGCTGAAAAGTCCCATACCATGACAAAACAGCCGTCTAGTGCTTCCAGGTCCTCAATGGCGGTCTAACATTGATCGATCCATGATCTCAAAGAAACATTATAATCGGAGTTTTGATTGATGGTTTCGGCACGTGCTATTGATTTATTTCTGAAGGCATAACAACTGTTTCATCATAACACTACTCGATTATGGGATAAAACTCAAGTAATACTGTAAATTTCAAAAGATAAAGTTGAACTATTAACGCTTATGTATGAATTTTTTACTTACCATCAGTTTTAAAAGGACGAATTTTACATCTATATAATGAAAAAACATATAAAGCAGTAAGACGTGTATAGGAATGTGAAGTAGAATTAGCTGCCTTTCGACTATAAAGTTCATTTTTTGATCTGCTTCTTCTTCCTCTTCCGCCTCCTACTCTATGAGGTACACAACCAACATTTGGTTGCATACAGTTAAGTGTATTCGATTCAGCATTCATTATTTTAAACTTTTTATCACAATCGGTATATAATAATCTAATGGTGGACGAAGAAAACCATCACATTGATCTGGTGATAATTTCTTATCATTTATTTTTGATTGATTTTTCCTTGACTTGTCGAAAACTAATCTTCTACCAGAAGTACGTTTTGAAGAGGTATCTTTTGCAATAATAATTAGGTCATTAAAAACAAACAAATGTCGTAGAATACTGGTTTCTTTATGAGGAGGTTGATTTGATTAATCTTTAAATGAGAAAAAAACAACAGAAACAATAAGAAAAACAAATGGTGGGTGTTAGCGATTATCGATTACTGTGTTACTTTAGTTATTGATCCATAGTGAAACATTTATTATATAACAAATTATATTTTTTCCGTAATAGAGGGTTTATGGAGAATGTTGAATTTTGTGGATTACAATACAGATTAATTTTGGCTAGACAACCATCGAAAACTAGGTTGAGGTGAAGCGCTTACCACGAGGCATGGAAATTGTACTTTAATTCCTGGAGGGGTTGTGTATGTATCCTGTTGATGAGACAGATTAGGACGAAATGACTATCCAATGCTTCCTAGACTTCACGGTTGTCTAGCTTCAGTAAGTCTGCGGTTTTATCTTCCGATGATTGTTTGGTTGAAATTTAAGAATTATTTTCATAATTAATTAATTTAATTATCCATTCCGACTATTCAAATCAAACAGATTTTCACAAAAGAAAAAGTTTAGATTTTATTTAGAAAATTACACAAATTTAATTCGATCAGGTGTGAATGCTATCTCACACTTGAAAAGCGGTTTAGTGGAAATCAGGTATGTAATCTGTGTAAGTAAAATATTCCAAGCAGTGACATTACCACTGAAAAAGTAATGTAATTCAATGTTATATTTCTCGTATAAATCGTTTTTGTTAATTTACACGATATTCTATGTGATTGTAGCTGTTATCTTGAAAAGATAGACAAACTTCCGTGTCGTGGTAACTCAGGTGAGATATATTGTTTAAAAATCAATCTCTTGAGAGGAAGCCAGAATAGACATAAATCTAGACGTATTCATCTCCCGTTTCTTTTAAAAATAGACGACAACAGCGAAAATGTCAAGCTTTATTGTTATTTTCATCTGCATCTTATTGTTTGGAACATTGCAATGGAATGTGAAACATTTTCACAAACCACGCAAGCATATTTTTCAGTCCACATACATAATTAATTCAGTAAAACAAATCTAAGATCTAAAAAATCATTTCAGTATTTGCATACTTCTAAAATAGACTAGGTTAAAGGTTTGGACGAATTTCATAAGTGGTATATTCCAATTAATTGTAGTTTGATTTGACATTCAATACAATGTTGGTTATTCCATGTAAGCATAATTTGTAGTTGATGAAATCTGTACAACTGTGCACCATTAAAATGTAAACATTTTTTGTAATCTACCAGGAAGAGTGACATCCTATGATTTGGCTATTCGAAGCAAATATGTGAATTCTATTAACACTATTATATTCCATCTTATGATGAAGATGACGACAAATGAGTGGTTACTTACCTATAATATGAACTAAAAATTTATGTTAAGCTTAACTAACCAAAAATGGTAACACAAGGTAAAAACGAAACTTACATATCTTAAATCGATAGGAGAAAAGATGAATTAAATTATACAATAAAAATATTACCAATTGATTTGGAAGTAGCATAAGACTCTGAGAATTAATAATGCCGATAAGTATTCATGGTTGAAGTGAATTATACTGACAAGTAAGAATAACTAAATAGCCAGTCAGAAAATAGTGTTTGGTTATAAAGCAATTTATCATTCAATAAATAAAGTTTTGAAATGATTAATGAATTTTTACATGTTGAATTATTCATTATAGAATAGAAGAAAAAGGTTGAGGTAAGTAGTTGGAGTTAGAATGGGAGAATGCTTTTTATTTATAATGAAGGATAACCATGTAGATAGCTCTTGAAATCTGAATTCCAAGAACTTTTAAGCTGCATGCAAAAAGTCATAGATCATGTAAAAGTGTTATGGATATTTCAATTTTTCCTGTTTTCTATTATTTGACACTGAAGATACTGACAACTTTCTCGTTATCATGTGAGAAATCATTTGATTCTTTAGTTTTTTGGAGTAATATTCATAACTTTTAGCAGGAATGGATATTCAACTAAGTTCATCAACAACTTATGAATGAAATAGAAAAAAGATCAAAGGTAACAACTGTTTCGAACAAGTTACTGTCCTTGAAGTCACAGTTCCTAAATGACTCTATCGAGGAAATAATGACGCAGAGGTTACAAAAAAGCAATTCAGAAAACATTTAATGCAGCCAAGCCGAATACAGTTCTCCGATTATGAAAACTCCTAATAAAAATAAACTGAGTTCGCCACATTTATGTATGTCTGTCAATTCAACTATTCTTGTGGAGTCAGTTACTTGAGGCGTATCGTCCGCTAAGTCAGTCATCATATAGCAGAACACCATTCGTCTCAGTCATGTGAAGAACAGGTAAGATGGATTAAGAGTTCTGATGTCTTTCAATCGGCTGATACCGAACATCATGTTGACTTGAATAAAGCTCTTGAAATTATTCACCATATTCCATCAGATTTAAAGTACGTTTTAAGTAATTATCTTTTGCATACTGCTGAAGCTATCAGAATAGATATTCCCAAGCCTAACAATTTCAATCAAAAGAATTTTAAACAACATCTCTATCTGTATTGGCGATAGATATTCCAGTGTGTTCAAGCTGGACACACATTGATTAACCGTATTCTTTAAAAAAAAACATATTCAAACAGTTTTCTAGTTTTAATAGTTGAACTTTTTACAAATCCCCCCATATTAATCATTTCTTAATTCCTTTCATTGTTTAATTTATATCTTTTTTTCAATCTTTACAAATAATTACTTTGATGATGATAATCTTTATTTTCTTGCAATTATCCAATTAATCATTTGATAGTATTTTTGTAAACACTGTGAAATTATATAATTCATTCTGTTACCCCACTATTCGATTAGTATTATTTTATTTTTCAGTACATAGGTTGTGAAGATTGTTAAGTTTTAGTCGAGATCTTGAACCGTTCCATGTTGAACCACCATTGTTAATCACATATATATTAATATATATTCGTGTAGAACCTTAATGGATAACTAACTCAAGGGGCATTTCTTTACACTATTTAGCTTTTCATTAACCTATAGATGAAAATTTTCACTATAATGATTTTGCAAATGATTAAAAGTATGTAAATATGTATATACTTGTATTCATTCGTAGTAGATTAATTGAAATTATGAGAATAATGATAAAATCAAAACAAATGAATGGGAAAAATTAATGTGAGAAAATGTTTGATAACGTAATTAATCTTAATGAAAGTCCACGTAATATATTTACTGAATTGCATGAAAGATGAATAAATGCTAAGTAAACATTTTATTATATTTATGGAAAATTAGTAATAATAATAATAACAATGGAAATAAAAAGAAGAAGAGAGAATATGTACATTTGTCAAACCAGTACAACCTATGGACGAAATCATTATTAAATTAATGGGTTTTCGGATTCGATCAAGTTAGAATAAACGAATGAATATACTTGGTTTGAATAAACTGTTTATTACATGGAAAAGCAATTTAATATTACATGCACAAATAAAGATAATATTATGTTATGATTGATATGCAAAACTTTCAACAATATAAGACTTGACAAGATCTCTGATATAATTTAATTCAAAGTTTAAGGGAAAATTCTCTTTGCGTTAATTTCAGAAACCTACTGGTTTTAATTTCAGTTCCAAGTTTAACTTTTGATATACCCCGGTGATTGATCATTTTCAATTAAATGTATTGATTATGCCATCTATACAATTGGATTTAATTTGCTAAAAAAATTGTTACTATCGTATACACAGTTCATTATTTAATAATTGGTCGTGATTTGCTTAAGCCGAGTAAAAGTATAATTTATTTTTCTAAAATTGTATCACTGAAAGGTAGATACAAGATTGTGTTTGAAATGGGACATCTTTGTTTTTTTTTAAAAACAACTAAAAATATACAGCTTTTCATAAAAGAAATTCTGGCATTATTACAGCAAACTTAATATAAAATCGTTAAGACTTTCTTGGTTCTTTTACTATTCCTAATCTGTCCTATAATCTGACGTTTTCATGACTTTTAGTTTGTCTAATCTGTCAACTCTGATGAAGCAATACATGACGCTATTGTTGCATGTCAGGCTCAAAGAGAGTTTTATAGCATGTGTACACACTCTGTCTTGTTATTGTTTCCGAAATGGAAGATGAGTTTTTTCCAGTAAACAGATTTGGTATGTGTCTAAAGTGTACTGGTAATGATTTACGTACTGTATGTTTGTATGGATGACAAAATGTGTCATTCTTCACTATCGTACACACTGATTTATAATAAACTGCATAATAAATAAAAAGCCAAAAAAAATTATAACCTACATGAATCACCGTACAATAACAAACCAATCGACGATGTGGTTCCACTAATTCAAATGGATTATTCGTGAATAAGAATTCATTATCAATGTCATCAGTGTTTAAAATTTTAACTTCTTGCAAATTTCTTATTGCTTTAGATATATGTCGAACGATTGTTGTTTGATCTGAACCTGGTTCCAATGGTTTAACTTTAATACGATGAAATATTTCAGTTAATGTACGATTTGAGAATACTTGTTTTATATCAAGAGATTTGTTATTATTAATATTATTTTCATTGTCCAGAATGGATTCAGTATTAGTATTACCACTTTCATCAACCATATCATTTTGATTAACATTTGAAATCTTTGGCTTTGATTTAGCCGTGAAAGAAGATAGTGAAGATGATGATGGAGATGGTTGATTTAATAAAAGATCTAGAGAAAGCAGAAAAAAGAGACAAGACAAGAAGATGTTTGAAGGTAACAAGGAAAATAAAAGATTTAAATAGATCGAGAATACAATTTGTCGAGCAACATAAATCCATTATATTTTAAGGCTTTTTATCAAATGTGAATGGCTTATAGTTACAACTAATTATGTCATGGTAAACTAAGTATTACATAATGTAATTAATGAAATTCAGTTGGTAACAACGGAAATAAGAAGAAATAACATATTTTACATAGTTAAGATTGGTTATTACTTTTGATATGTTGAAAATAAAATCATGCAAGGAGTTGGCAGAAGCTATAGATGATAATAAAGAAACAAGAAATAAACGCAAATTGTTAACGAATGAGTGATAATCAAGGCATCTAGATGATGTAAATTTAAAGTTAACGACGTGAGAGAATGTTAGTGGAATTATTTGAAGTTTATGTTGCATGTTTTTAAGTAATCTAAGTACATGTGAAAAATTTATATTGATATGTAAAACTTTACAACTTCATACATAAAGAAATCTGGGGTTTGATCGATAGGTTCTTGAGGATCACATGTACGTTATGCTGAAAAGGACCAACTTACAAGAAACTTAGGTAGGACGGCGATTTTCAATGATTACCTTCAGTTAACTAAGATAAAATCTGTTTAATTTAGTGTAATAAATTACAACAGTTAATATATTGTATCTTAAATGCAGTATAAAAAGAATAAATTCTATTGTAGGACCAGTGATCTGTCACTGAGCGCTAGACAAGTCATCTATCAAGCTGAATCGTTCCTTCGTTAGACTAATAGATCACCGAAGCTTGAATAGCTTGCGAATATCTTTAAGGTCACAGATGACTAATGCAGATTAATCAATCGCATATCATAGACTAGTGAATGTGGTGATGGCTCTACTATATTATTCTTTAGTCTTCTCCTGTAATATACTCCTTTAATAAGGTTATGTTTGTTTTACTCAATCATCAGAGTAGTTACAGTAACTATTACAACGAAAGAGTAACTCAGGCTAGGTATTAACCTCGAAGTCTGACTTTAACATAAGCCAGGAGGTCAAATCATTTCCATTCAACTCGAGTGCACCGACCATCAACACAGATCACTTACATTATCATTACGCAGATGAAACCAACGACTGACGTTATCTGAAACGTTTACAGTGTTCAATAGGTGTGTTACATTCAAACGATTTAGCTATTTGTAGTTTGTTTAATCAGTGACTGCTGTATACTGGAGTGAACATTTCGTGAAAAATTCCACATTAGGCGTCTTGAGTCATTCGTGACTGTGAGCTATGAATAAATGTGTAGACTTGATTAACGTGCTGGATGAAAAATATAAACATAATCAACTGTTGGGGTTTGAATTGAAATCTTGAATAAAAAATACTCTAATTTTCAGTCTTCATTCACTAAAAGAGGGAAAAATCGATGAAATTCCTGGACATAACAAAGTTACTGGGTTGTGAAAATGCTGTCACTAACCTTAGTCGAGCTAACTTACAAATATCATTTCTCAGCAATACCGAGTTATATGTGCTGACCGGTGGTATATTTATCAAATTTACATTTTAGAAAATTTAGATAGACTCTTTTCATGTATCGTTAAAATAATTAAGTAGCATTCATACTCTGTTTGAATAGAACGATACGACAATTGGATGCACATAATAAGTTTATCGCTATGATAAACATTATGTCGAAGACTTGACAAAAATAACATGGCTTATTACTCAGTAATTAAGTTAGATTATACAGGAGGTCGATCACTATCTAGATAACTCAATGGTAACGTACCAAACAGTAAAAATGTGTAACAGGGTTTCAAATAAAACAGTAAGCATCAGTTAGCTTACAAATGACAGATACCTCTAATTGACGAGTGGTAATTATTAAAAAATCTAGGCTCAAAGTTTCCTTTTGAACAAACCTCTAGAATACAAATCAATAAAATTAGTTAAATAAATAAATGATCCTGGTAATTAGTTCCATTTACAATCATGAATAATAGAATAAAAAAGAGAAGCCATATCTTCAAATAAATCTCAATATATCTTATTGTGGTAATTGCTTGTCCATTATTAAGTAAATACCGATTAGTTATTGATCTACAAAGAAATACATTAGCTGAATACAACTTAATCTATGGAAATAATAAAAAGAAAACATTAAGCTTGAACAATAAACTTAATTGCCAAAACATTTTTCTACGTTTCTTGCTAAAATTAATTACTTCCCATATAAAAAAAGTGATGGTTATAAATTTTTCCATACAATAAACGTTAGAAAACGTTTTAGAAAGCCCATTATTCTTACAATAAATTTGTAGGTGATTTGTTTCGGATGCAAATAAAATAATAGCCGATGACAAGCCAGTGAAATGAAATAAATTTCATTTTGTGTAGAAGTACTGATATAATTCTGTTTTCTATATACATGTTTTCAAAGCAATCAACTTTTTTAGTTTTACACTACGGATTGACTCAATCATGTATCTGATGAAAACTAGAAATTTTTCGACAGATGGGTCGTTCTGGTATTGGACGTCTTAAAAATAAGTGTCTAAAACAATACTGGTATTTAAACGTAGGACCTTCAAGTCTCACGCAGAGCGCTTGACCTTGAAACTACGGAGTTAAAATAGTCCTTTCTTCTCAAAACATATTCTTGAAGTTGAGCATTTGTCACTATAACGTCTACCACGATTCATCTGTTTAACTTTATCTCGTTGTTCTAACGTAGGACGAAAAATTTAGCTGACGTAAATTTATGTCTGAGTACGCTCAGAGGTTCGTCGGAGAGAATCTATCGTAAAAACACTTTCTTTTCGGTGAACTCATTTACTTAAGCTGTACGTTCGTATTGAGATTTGTTTGGTAAATATATGAGTCCAAAGGAGAATAGAAAAAGATTGCGTCATAAAGTAGCCCGAGATTTGATATTATCAAAATAAGGTTGCTTAATGACCGAGAAGATGAGGAGTAGGGGTATGGAAAAAGTTTATGGGTTAGAAATGTGGGAAGTAACTATTCACCTAATAAATCAGAAGAAAAAAAGACTAACGTTAAGTTCATAAAAATCATTTGAATAATAATCATGAAAGACTGTTAGAGGATAATAATAACTGACAGCTTTTCGCAACGATACATAAATTTACAGATAAATTATACTTACCATATACATTTTTTATAAATTGACTGACAGTCTGTTTGCCTAAACTTGATTTTGCTGCATTTACATTATGAAGGCTGGTTTGTAGTAAGAGAATAGCATAAAATATTAATGATAACTGATCCAGAGTAATAGGAGGAGCTGGTAAAGACTTCAATTGATGGTCATTAGCATTGGAAAAAATATCTGATGAATTAACAGATGTTGAACACCATCGAACTGTATGATAATATTCAGAGATACATTGCAATAATCTGTCGATTTCTTGAGATTCCACCTATACAAGATTGGTAAAAGAAGACAATTAATTATTTTGGTTTCATAATTTATTGATGTTCTCTATGAGAAAACTTAAGTTATGTGAGGATTAAAAGAAACAAGGAAGTTACATAACAAGATCTGCAAATATTTTCTTTTGTAATTGTAAGAATTGTTATGTTCTTTAAATAATACAAAATACGACTAATTTGAAAGTAAATACTTGACAAAAATGTGTTGAACAGTTAACGTTTTAATGATTGCGAATTAGGGTATTCAAATGTTAAAAACGTAACGAGCAAAATGTTCATGTAATAAACCAAGAATAGTGCTACATTGCATATTTAACTGTTTACTTCAAATGATAAATAGTTGCCAAAATTTGATTGTGATAAGTGATTAAACCAATGGGATATAACTACTGACCAAAATAAAGTGTGTGAAATCTAGATAATATATCGGCTAATAAACTGGAAATATACTTGACTAATCATGAAGTGTAATTAATTAAACCCACAAGTTGATATAAGCTAGACCACCATTGAAAGCCTGGATGCACTGGACGTCTGTTTCGCCTCAGTATGTGACTCCTCAGCAATGCGCATCCACGGTCTCGGGAGAGAGACTTGAACCAAGGACCCTCAGTCTCGCGCGTGAAAGCTTAGCCTCTAGATCACTGACACGGTATCCAACAAAGTTAATGCCTAACTTTAATCAGTTCATGATCTTGCGCAACCGATCATCCATTGTCTGAGGTGGGTAACTGTCTCAGAGATGAAACAGATAGTACTCCACTGGTCCAGGCTTTTCGCTTGAACTCCAGCAGTTACATCGTGAAGCTAGTCATTAGTGAACACATGATTGTTATCAATACGGGGGTTTGTGGGGATTGCAGTATTTTAAAAGTTTTATATTTAATAAAATATACGATTAAGATCCTTTTTAACATGAAGAATGAAAGCAAACGTTTCTGCTTGGCAGTAACTGTATACATAATTGGTCAACACAATCATAACGTAATGACTTTCAATAGAGAAAATTCTTGAGAGTCAGTTACAGTTAGATAATTAACTTTACAATCGGTTTATTATTGTGTAGAGGATCAATATCAAGCATGTCTAATCCTTTAGTGGTTACCAAATTCTGTCAATGAAGCTATGTGATCACAATGTTTAGATGCTATGTAGTATCGCAAGGGTTTGGATCTTACTGAGAGCATGTGTTACCAAAAGATTCCAGGTAGGTCATATTGACAAGTACCGATAATTATCTTCAAACACCTGACACAATTAAATACATTGTAGTTTCATAATTCTAGTTTATAAATAAAAGAAATAAACTTATAAAAAAGCACCCTATAGATGAGATAAACAGTTCAGTAAAACGTTTTTCCAATAAATTTCATACTGTTTTAATTACTTAATAATTAATTGTAGTTTTTGTGAATAATTAAAAAAAACCATGATACTCTGGAAATTATAAATGATCAAAAGAAAAACCAAAATAAAGGAACATTAGAAAAAATAGATTAAAAGAAATGGTGATATGGATGAGAGTAAATATATTCAGTAACTATGATAATATAATTACAAATGACTGTAAATTATAGATAATAAAGACTAAAATTTTTTTCAGAAATATCATTTATTGTCCACAAACTTAATTGTATAACTATGAATACCAAGTCCCACAATTTCGATTCATTATCATGATGAAATTTGTACTTAGATTAATTTAATAACGCTAGTTACATTTTGATAATAATATATTTACATTAATAGTTTGTAGAGTTAGTGAGTAACAACTTACATGAAATAAATTTAAGTTGTTTTGTTAATAAAATTACTGTTCCTGGTTATCACAAAACTGTATTATCATATTTACAAGCATAAATATCACCAAAAACACGGATTTGGACGCAAATATGAGTAGTATTACCTAAATGTAATACTACATTGAACACGGTAAACATATTTACATTATATATATTATAAGCAACTAGAATCATTCATCCAAACAGATTACTACTGACATTATTCATTTATCTTTCGTGTGAATATAGGCCAGTAAATACTAATGACGTTTGAATGTATATATTATTTGGTTGTAACTTTTCTGGTTATCGTATTTTTAGAAAAGCTTTATTCTATAGGATGTGGTAGCTAACCCCATGTCTAACGATTATTCTTTATCCAGGCATGGGGCCGGCAGTAATCCTGGAAGGGCTCCAAGTGAAGTTGGTTGTAGCTATTAGTTTATGAATAATATAACAATAGAAATCATACTTTCTTAGTATATCAGTAAATTATAAATATAAATAAATAATGTAAATTATAAATAAGCAATAATCCGTGATTTGGGTTTACTTCCGAATATTTCTACTTTCATTTTATCATTAGGCTGAATAATCCTCCAGCATATTTCCGATCGGTGTCTAGTGTCATTGAACTGATCATGGGTCATACGATGACTTTCATTTCATAATGACAGTCAAAATACGTTTACTTTGAAATGATATGATCATTGATGAATTAGAATAACTAATTTACATGCTCGTCGACGTTATGTAAGCTAATTGTTTATACTAGATGTCGCTTATATGTCGTCTCGGTGCATCGCTAACAAACTCATAGGAGGATATCGAATTAAACAGGAATGAATTCAGCAAATAATAAATACAAGTTTTATGAGTTCAAGAACTAGGAGAAAAAATTAAGAATAACAGAAACTTTTATCGTTGAATACAAGTTATTGAACCCAACATTTCTTCTTCTGTGGTATTAATGAGGCCTCCTCTCCTACTAGGCAAACCATACACAATACCTACATGACTTTAATCGATAGTAAATAATTTGCAGCTTAGCCGGATGAATGACGCAGTGGACGCCCAACTTCGAGATCAACACGCCGAATTCCACAAGGACTAGTCGTGCAAGACTAAAGTGTAACACTACGGATCATCGTCGAACAATTAGCCGAATGGAACTCGTCACTATACATCAAATTAATTGACTACAAGAAGGCGTTTGACAGTGTAGACAGGAGAACATTATGGAAAATTCTTCGACACTATGGAGTTCCTGAGAAGATTGCCAACATTATCCGGAACTCATATGACAAACTACAGTGCAAAGTGGTGCATGGAGGACAACTGACAGACTCATTCCAAGTAAGGACTGGAGTCAGACAAGGCTGTTTACTCTCTCCCTTCCCTCTTTCTTCTGGTGGTCGACTGGATTATGAAGAACTCGACATCTGAAGGAAAGCACGGAATACAATGAACAGCTCAGAACTAACTAGACGATTTGAACTTCGCAGACTGACCTGGCCTTTCTATCCATACACACAAACAAATGCAGATGAAGACAACTAATGTAGCAGGAGCCTCTGCATCAATAGGTCTCGACATACATAACGGAAAAGCAAGATCCTCAAATGCAACACAGGTAACACCAACCCAATCACATTTGACGGAGAAACTCTGGGAGATATGGAATCTTTCACGTACCTGAGCATTATCATCGACGAACGTGGAGGATCAGATGCAGACGTAAAGGTGAGGATTGGTAAGCAATGGCAACATTCCTACAGTTGAAAAACATTTGGAACTCAAAACAACTGTCAACCGATTTCAATGTCAAAATCTTCAGTATGAACGTCAAGACAGTTCCGCTGTATGGAGCTGAAAGTTCGCGAATTAACACCATCATCAAAAAGGTATAAATATTTAAAAACAATTGTCTATAGAAGATACTGAATTTCCGTTGGCCGATACCATCAGCAACAGCCTACTGTGGGAGAGAACAAACCAATTTCCAGATGAGGAGGAAATTAGGAAAAGACTTTAGGAGTGGGTAGGACACATATTGAGGAAGTCATCAAACTGTATCACGAAGTAAGCGCTAACTTGAAATCCTGAGGGGAACGTAAAAGAGGGAGCCAAAGAACACATTGCGCCGAGAATTAGAAGCAGACATGTAAAGAGTAAATATCAACTGGAAAAGATTGTCCAGGACAGAGTTGGATTGAGAATTCTGGTGGATAGTCTACGCTCCTCTATGAGGGGTAACATGAGTAATTAAGTTCTAGAGTGAGTGTCGTTCTCAACTCCTGATAAAGGATGAAGTTGGGCATGGGGTTAGTAACTGCATCTCGTGGAAAAACTCTTGCTAAGAAAACGTTAGCCAGGAATAAAGTCTAAAAGGTAGTGAGAAATATCAGTTTTAATTTTTCCTAATTTTTCGCTGGCCTATTACTCACCCTCACCTCAGTTATACATGAAAAACAATAAACAAAATGAATCAAATACAAACTATGTTCTCTGTTTTTTTATTTGAACACTATTTACTGCTATCTGAATGAACTAAAATTTATTATTGCAATGAGTTGTGTGGATTTTTCAAATCCATTTGAATTATGAACCGATATAAGTTTGACCACCATTAAATTCCTCATCAGTGCGCATCCACGACCAAACAAACATTAACCAGTGGAACTAATCTATTTCAGGTGTGAGGAAATTACCTGCCAAAGACAATGGAAAATGGTCGCGCTGTCATAGGCTGATTGAGATTAGACCTTAGCACTGTTGGATGCCTAATTAGAGGTCCAGAAGTTAAGCGTTCGCACGCGAGACCAAAGGCCCTGGGTTCGAATTTAGTGTGAGAGGTTGTTGGCGCTCACTGCTGAGGGGCCCATACTCAAGAGAAATGGCTGTCCAGTGCATTCAAGTTTTCAATGGATACCAAACTTAGATCGGTTCGTAATTGTAATCAAATCTATTGATTGGCTAGCTAGCGACTTATCACCTCATATTGATAAAATCATTACAAGGTTAACAATAATCATTTTCTTGTTTACCGTTTGAATAAATTCAATTCACACACAATAATATCGTAAACAATATGATAACTATTGAGCAGAAAAAAACTGATGGATCAAACGTAAACAATCATGAGTTTAATGAAACAAGACATTTATTCGTAAAATTTAACAAGTTTACTGCATGGTCAACATATCTGCTTCTATATACACACACACAAATATAAATTTGCATTTTCATTAAAAAGTTGAGGAAGGGGTTGGGATGGAATATGAATCATCAACCTAATCTTTTCATACACAATACTGAGTTATAAATCAGGGAAAAAACGATTGATTGTTAACAGTAAAATGAGCGAGAACTAAATAATAACAGGAAAAAAACTATGTACATATTGACAGTAGGATGAGTAAGTATTTGGGAGAAATTTTTTTTCAGATTATATAGTTCTTCCTCGAAATAATAACGTGATGAAAGAATTATTCTTTTTTTTTTAAATATTCATTTGGTATATAGCAAAACTAATGTAGAGAATTAGAAGATTACTTGTAAGTAGATGAAATAGATTAGAAATTAGGTCATGAGAAAAAAGAGATTAACTCTTTTTTTCTACATATATAATACAGTATTTTTATTTAATGAAGAAATTCTGAAAATGAAAAGCTTATTGGGTGATCTATGTCATTATTTAGAACAAGAGAAATAAATAGATTTTGTAAAAAAAATAATACATGGACGTTGAATAAGTTGGTGAGATATAAACCAATGACTGATTTGATTGACGATTTAGGGCTCTACAATTAAACGTATAGGAAAAGGAATTTTTGTTGTTGATTTACTCGCCAATGAATGAAGACACTAAATCCTGCGAGAGGGATCGTGGATGCGCACTGTTGAGGAGTCCCACAATAGGACGAAACGGCCGTCCAGTGCTTCCAGGTTTTTAATAGTGGTCTAACATCATTCGGTTCAAGATCTTAATCAAAAACGTAGTCTCACAACCCTCCTTTATATTCTCATCCTAATCCAGTAGAACTGAAAACATCAAGTAACTGTTTGCTGTCAGTTAAAGGATGGCGAATTAAAGATATTACAAAAATAATCTCAGATACTGAGAGAACTTGAAGGTTATCACTCATTCAAGATGATAAATTACTATTTCACATAAGAAAATACGATCATTAATTTTTGCTTCGAATTTTTCGACTTGTATGATGTAATTGTCAAACTGTCATTGTCTCTCAGGACATCATCACTGCCTACATTAAGTTGACTTCTACAAACTGAGTAGCAAATCTGCAGGATTTCACAATCAATAGTTTATCATAACCTACAGTCTAGACACTTTGAAAGTAATGTTTAAGCTTGAAGCAAATTTTCACGTTTTAGTAAGACTTCAAGTTAAATTTAAATGAGATAAACTTGGTTGAAAAATTAAATAAATGATGGTCATGTTGTATAAGTGGGTTGAGTTAAAAATTTAGATGTCGACAAAAAGCTAATCAAATCACCGTCTACTTTTACAGAATTATTTATAGTCTTGAAATAAGTCTAATGAATTTAAGACATAAATCGAGAATATTTGGTATGAAATTTTATGAAACAGTGAAAAGGTTTATATTTATTAAATCCTATTAGTCATAAAGCTTTTAACTTTTTACATTCGTCCCTTAGTTAAAATTACACAAAACAAAAAAATGACCGTTAGCCAAACTGAAAAATTTTGGCGTTTCCTTCAAACATTATTTGAAGAATACTTTTTACTTTAGTCAATTAAGAGTAATAATATCGTCTGGGAGGGTTATTTTAGAACAATTTTTCTCATAAAATACATGTAATTGGTATTTAATGAAATATTAAAAAAAATTAAAAGCTGAATTTAATTTTCTGCTGATAATCAACTTACAGGCATCCCATATCGATGAACAACCAATCGCAAAGCTTCATCTACTTCCAAACCAGAAATGTTTAAAGATTTCAGAAGAATCCTATATTCAAAATAAGTACGAAATAAATATCTTAAAGTAAATTTTAGTTGCAATTATTAGTTATAAATAATGATCTTCAGAGTTGAAGATTATGAAGATTCGAGACAAGCAGAATGATTATTGAAGCCCTACTGCTAATCAGGTTACATTTTAAACTGAATCTCAGATTGAAAGAATGACCATAGTGCAATAGATGTACAGTTGATAACAGGTCAGAAACGTGAGACCAAGTATCCGAAACACTCCAAAGTCTAATTTTACTATAAATTATGGTTTTTTTTTATCAGTCAAGTCAGTTCAACGGTGTACTTCATTATATCAGTGAGATATATAACCCCACAGCAATTACTCTTTAAGTGCACATGCATGTTACCAAATATAGAAAAGAACTTGAATCACTTCTAAAATAAAGTTATATGCATTAATCAGTTATTGAAGGGTAATCAACATCATATTGTCTAGTCTTTAGTATATGTCTAATTGTAGTTATTTCACAGACTTGAAATTAGGTTTCAGATCTCATCATATTCAGCGTATAACAATGCTTAGTAACGTGGTCAATTGGTCTGTTAGTAACTTACCTTTTGGATTTATATTATAAATAAGGGATCGACACGATGATAACAGTTGCTATCCACATTTATGACTGTTAAGCGTCAGTTTACCTAAGATTATAGCTACCATCTTTATTGATAAGTGTTAATTAAACCCACATTTAAACTCATAATTTTCAACTGAGTGCCTTTAATTTACAACTTGTAATAAATGTGTAATTGTTATGGTTTGTTAAAAGCCTAAGCTGTAAGTTTTCGACAAAGTATTGAAGTATGATAAATAACAAATGAATAATACCAGGTTAACACACTATATTAAATACATTTTATGCATGTTGTACATCTGTGATGTCATTGACATATTTCAACAATGATTAAAGGAAAGCGAATCGGTGGTCAGTTATCTTAAACTAGCCTCTTTGCCGAAATTATTTTTACTTGTTCATCTAAATGAGGATTATTGATAGTATTGAATCTTGTGTAATATATGTATATATATCTATTCTAGGAATACTTATAAGTATGATAAATCATATCGTGATAATATTTGTTTTTTTACTAACTTTTACGGGAAAAAGGGTGATGATCGAAAAAAAAACAAGTTAAAGAAGCAAAAGAGAAGAAAGATTGTGAAGAAAAACAATTCGAAAACATATTTATCTATCATATTTCTATTTCTAATATCTTTATGTCTTAAAACCAGTCCAAATGAGAAGCAATCAATTCTGTTTTATGTTGAGAAAAAGAAGCAAAATAATAGTCTACTACTAATACTATTATTAATTTTTTTCCCGAATAACTTATACTCATAAGTAGAAAAATATGAAATAATGTAGTTAGTCAGTCGATCGTAATCACTGTAGAATCTGGCACAAATATGCATTGGCTTAAGTTGCTATACTACTCATTAAAGCAAGACGATATAATATTAATCAGGTGAATAGCAAAGGAATCGGAATAATATAACAACAATGATAACGAAAAAGATCAAAAGTTGAAAATATGGTTTAACAACAAGAAATGAAATGGTATATATGAAAGAGTATTGGAAATCAACATCTAAAGTAAAATAAAGAGTGAATACCCCTGTTCCATTGTGACCGATTCTAACCAATGTTACCATTCGACTCTAACTATTAACGTTGGTTATTGTCCTGACCTTAACCAGGTAGTTTGCATCTATCGACATGGCTAAGACCCACAGTAAATGAAAAACGTCAATTTCTCTAAGATTTTAAGTCAAAAAATACAATGGTATGCAATGTATTATAATTGAAAAGTAAAATACAACAATAAATCTCAGAGTATGTTCTTTTCCTACAGTCATCGTGAAATTTTGTTATCCTCACCGGGACTGTAATCTGTCGTCAACTGTTTTAACAGATTACAAGGCTTTTAATTAAGTCATTGAACTATTGTGAGGTTGAGCGATATCGTGAATTAATTAACGTTAAAGATGTAGATTACTAGGTACCTGCTCAGTAGCTCAGAGGTTAAGCATTCGCAAGCGAAATCGAATTTCCTGAGTCTGGTTTACTAATACGAACTCGTTGATGCGCACTATTGAGAAGTCATACACCAGGGAAAAGCACCCGTTCACTACTCTATGATTTTTGACGGCAGTCCGGCTAAGATCAGTTCGTGATAAAAGCTATGGAAATTCTACGATCTACACAAATCCCTTGACACTCATAATTAAATTTTGTTAGTATAATCACTTGTTGCAAAACATGTAGACATATTCAACTGTCATTTCGTGAGTGAAATGAAAAACACGTTCAGAATCCAATAATTAGTCACAGTCTACTTAAGTATTGCTAATCATTTCCAAACAAAAAAAAACCGTTAACAGGATGAAAATGTTTTATGGAATAACAGCCTAAAATTTTTGAAATTTATGCTGTAGTGTTGGGATATTCAGGAAAATATCCCAAAAATTATCCTGTTAAGCCTAATGCTATCCTTGGACATGAAATAGTATCATCTTATTGGTCAATATTTATTTAACGTGTCATTTTCCTGTTGGCCAATATTGTACAATGTTATTTTCTATTTTATGGGACGTTGTGGTCTGCTTGATTGATATATAAACAGAGTATGTTTGAAATATAATGATTCATAACTCAGAGGCTGTGACTTGCGTTCTGGACTCAACTGGCTGGGCTAGACAGGGAAGCGGGACCAATCAGAACCTAGGCTGTTCTACGTGTTTGCGCGTCTTTAGTCCGATCAATAATTCGCTACCCCTTAATCAGCAGCATTTTTCACGTTATAACATGTAGCTACACCAAAAAAAAATACAGGAAGTTGTTATACAGATATACATATGAGCTCTTAGCATTTTACTGTTGACTAAGCCAATACATACACATACTACATTTTATAAGAAATCAGTGTAGTTAAGTAATCCGACGTGAATTATGAAATTAATTATACACTCTGTTGGATGTATACTTTAAAGAAAAATCAATGTAAAACTAGAAATGAAATAGAGAAAATTAATCACAGAAACTGTAGAACTAAACTAAATAATCACATGTATGCAATAATCAAGATAAAAGAATGTTAGTTCATTTTTCACTAGTAAAACAAAATAATAAGTATATATTATGAAACATTTTTATATATTTAAATGTTGGTATACATTTGAAAAAAAACCCAGATTGCTCAGCATGATATTGAACATTTTTAGTCTTTTAAAGTGTATGTTTTAAACAGTTGCTGACAAACTAATAGAAAGTTAATGTGATGTATTACATTTTTAAGTTAAAAGATAGAACATTAACTAGTATTTAAACAAGTTAGAAATAATGTTAATTAGGTTAAAAAAACAAAGAAAAATAATTATTTTAAATTATGTAACAGATTATACTTGTTATATTATACTGAAGACTAAATGAATGGTAACTTTCAGCAGTAATTTATGGACTATTATCATTTTTCAGCTTGCACGTGTATAATTAGAATTTTTCACTTCACGATGTGATATAGTTTGTACTCCTTGTATGTATGATTGAAATATAAGATTCGTTGGGGTAAATTATTGACTTCTGGACTCTAAGGCAGGTCAGAGAGAGAAGCTACAGTATCGTGAACCAGTAAAAACTTATCACTTGACTCAAGCTTACTAGTGCTGGTCGGACGTGTAATTGGTCAACTTTATTTATTTATTAATTAAACATAGACATGGGTACAAGGAGGCACAGAATATTTATGCGCCACACTTCGTCATTTGATTTTTATGAGAGCTGGGATGCTGCCCGGGTGCCAAAACTGAAACAGGTGGTTTTCTTAGGGGGGCCACACCTCGAGTCTTTGGCCTAGAAACCACAACAATGGAGCAACGGTAAAAGATTCAGGCCTATGGTAACCGGTGATCAACATTAGCTTCATAAGCCAATTTTCCACTCAGTAGCCTGGAGCTCATGTGCACCATTGGTTTGGAATCACGGTTTTCTAACTCTTTTGGGTGGATCCTCTATATCCACCAACCTTTCCGTCCTCTCAACTTCGTAAACAATACCCCGGCGCAGGAAGTCGGTGAGTAGGACTTCCTTGTCAGTGGCTGTATACGCGTCACCATGTGAGAGAATTTCGAGAGGGAGAGCCGACTCGTTCTACCCTCGGCTGTACCAGGGCTTTTGGGGGCAAATATATTAATTCATATCAATCGAGATTTTGATTAGTGGTTTTGTCAAGATATTAGTCAGCCGCCATAACATATACTACATTTCTCACCGACCAATTATATATATATATATATATATATATATATATATATATATGCACTATGAGTGTTGGATTTACTGTACCAGACAGAATATTTGGTGTTTAATCAAAACATTGAAAAGAACAATACACATGTATATAGAGTGTTGATAATTTAATTTTACACCAAATAACATAATAAAATTATTGCATAAAATACTCTCGTATCAATAAAATTGTAGTTAAGAGAAACATCAGTGTTTGAAATGGTTATGTAGTAGAAACTTCTAACAAATTAAATGTTTTTTAGCTAACTCTAAAGTCCCAATCAATCACTCAGTCAGCCATATAAATAGTATGGGACACGGGACAAATGTACAGTAGTTTAAGTTGTCACAGCTAATATCAATACATTAGAAGAGAAAATTAACAAAATGCAAAGCATGTGAATGTTGGTAATAAGACGCTTTAAGAGAAAGAATGAATTCAGAAAATAAAAATATGGAATAATACTAAAGCTTATAATTTAGGAAAGAGTAAGGGGTAAAGAGAGGGTGGATCGGAAAAATTATCACTTAATGAGAAATATCTTTTAAGGTCTCCAACCATTGGTTACAGTTAGATTAAAACTGTAATATGAAAATCTAAATTTCCTGATATTCCATTAACAGAAAAGACTGATGTCTTTGTTTTTCAGCCCTTGACGTTCCCTCAATCTATTTGTATGCTTTTAGCTTG